AAAATTTACATACTTTTAAAAACAAAATCCCCTCTCTTGTAGAGAGACTATCTACCAAACCAATTACTTTTATCCAAGTAGGGAGGAGTCAAGCAAACTTTTGTCTACAAAAATTGGCCTTCATAATCAAATTTAAAAAAAAAAGGACATTACATGTAACCCATGATATATTTCCCTGCAAATTATTTCACATATTAAAGGAACAGTTCAAGTAATACTCTCTACATTCTTCAGTTATGGGCAAAGAAGTAAAAGAAATGAGGAAATTGTTATTGCAAACTACATTCATTTATTCTATACCCACCTTTTCTATACTCTTCTTCTGTTTTCTTTCATTAGTTTTTCCATCTCTGTCTGGACCTTGATGACACTCCAAACTCTTTTTTCCCAGAATCAGAAATGGAATGCCATCATAATCTAGGTATGGCTCTGAATTCTTCTGAGAGTCTAATAATCTAAATTGACATTTCTTCAGCACTGATACATCTAAAAACAGATCCAAAATATTACTACACGAATATACTTACAGTATATAATAAATACTAAAACTTAATAAGAATGGCAAGTTTCTGACTGGTTAACTTATTACCCAGACAGACAAAATTTATTGGTAAGAAAATCTGCGAGTGGAAATTCGAAGAAGGTAAAAGGCCCATGGATTGATTCACTCATCTTAGTCTCTTTTGCACTGATGTTCTTCAGATTTCTTCCCTACAAACATGTATTACTGTGTATAATGTTATATACCAAAGGTGGTCCTACCCTAGCCCTGTGGAAGGAGTGGGGGTCCTGATTTGAACATGCTTGAATCTACACTATATCTGGTTACTTCCATGAACAATTTAGAACACTACCTCTACACTACCTCTGAAAGCTTCCATATAACTTGTTCTGGCCCAATGGTTCTTCATGATTTCTAATGACAACACCCTATTTCAGCCTTCTCTTGATTATCAACCCTCAGAAGGGGGCTTGTTCTTTCATTTTCAAAATTTAATTTTTCCTTCAACCAAGGATGCCTCTACCAATTTTGGTTAAAATAGGTCTGCAGGTTCTTGAGAACATGAAAAATGGAAAGTTCACAGATGGAGGGATGGAGCCTCCAGTATTTCTTCATTACGTTATAAAGTTATGGCCCAGACAAAACATTTTAATTTTTTTTGCAATGTGACCTTGAACCTGCCAGAATAACCTTGAATCATTCATGACACACTGAATCAAGGTTATGACACTCTCTTGGGTCATGAGAAATCTAAATACTTCAAGTGTTTCTTCATAACAAAGTTACAGTCGAGACAAAATTGTGTTTATTTTATATGCTCATGTTTGGGTTTCAACATTGTGCATGTCAAAAAAAAAATTTTTGTACCAAGATGGACAAGGTGATTCTTATAGGTAGATTTAATCTGTATACAACATTTTCACAAGTAAAAATTCTCAAAAAAAAAAAAAAAAACAAAAAAAAAACAAAAAACAAAAAAACAACACTATAACAGTTAAGGGTCATCCACTCCCCATGACTTATGATGAATGTCGAGAAAATTTACTCTTATTGTTTATGCTCTATGACTTCTTTGGCACTGCCTGCAAGACAGTTTTACAAACGCTTTAAAGAACAAGCTTTTGTCAAGGAAAAAGGTATGAAGTAAGCTAAGAGAGACCCTAATAAGAAACAATGATTACATGGCATAATCACGTTTATACTAAAAATTAGTGTCAATTTCTTCCAATAAAAGAACAGCAGACCGAGTTTTGTAGCATAATTATTTGTTTATAAGAAGTATATCTATTTATAATTTCAGACAAATCTCCAGTAAGATGTCATAAACAAAGTATTTAGTGAAAGTTAACACTTGTGCACACTGATCCGTGCCTTTCAATAATACCTATATTAATATTAATAAGTATTATGCTTCCTGTCAGTTTGTCTCTATATAATCAATACCCAACTATTATGGCATAGTGTTCAAAGGATTTATATAGCGTAAGCATACTAGGCCGAAATAGTGCACTGCTTCTTTTTCTGAAGAAAATTCCACAGCGCCCATGCTAGAGATCAAACTCTCGACCCCAATATTGTCTGTCCGACGCGCTATCAATTACGCCACAGACACCGTTATCTAAAACACTGAATTATAATATATATAAACTTAGTTTCAAATATTTCACAATTAAAGAAAAAAAATAAACAAAATAATTTTTCTGAAATAGTTTCTTGCAATTTCCCCTTCACTCAACTAAAATTCTCTGAAACTAGCTGTACATTATACCTAATGCATGAAACATTCAAAATTAAAGAAAAAAGCCTATGACGTACAAATAGCATAATAGGGGTGTACTAACATGAATGTAAGATGTGATGAAACATTGAAAATGGAGAAAATATTGCCGTTTTTATTCAACAGTCAGCATAATAATAACAATAGTGTTGTACTTTGCATGCACTATGCCTAAATAGTAGTCAGGGTTTGACACATACTGCACTCGCCTCCGTCTCGTGCACCATGTGTCAAACCCTGACTACTACATGTATTTAGGCATAGTGCATGCAAAGAAAAACACTATTATATAAATAGTGAACATTTCCAGTTGTTCATTTATATCTGTCCAGATCTCTTGCCAATGATATGATGATGTATGCAGAGACCTATCAAACTTTTAGAGTCCTGGCTAACAGGAAAGGTAACTCTAAAATAGAACTTAGATACAAAAGATTTATAAAATAATACTTCTTCCTCAATTTACTGGATTTAATTTCATTTTCTTCTTCTAATTTTATTGATTTGTAATTCTTCTATACTCTCTGGAGTCCTCCTAATTTTTATCTCCATGTATTTTAGAAGATACGAGTTTTATTTATTTTTAATAGTGTTATAAATGTAAGAAAAAATATGTAGACTTATGAAACCAAATTTTTGTGGTTGTTTTGTGAGCTTAATACCGGTACATGTACATGCCAGGAAATACACAAAATTTAATGTGCTACTAAGCAAAAATGGATGGGAAAAATAGCTTTAAACTTATGAAATAAAATTTTTAACAAATCAATATAAATTGTATTCCTATTCCTGGCCAGTTCATAAAGGTAGATATACTTCTTAAAACTAAAGCTCAGTAATATGGAAACATAAGCTAGGGGTGTGTGGATGACCCTTCATACCTTAAAGTACTGGAATATTTTAATATCAAAAAATTACCTATCTTCTTTCCAAAATGTTTGGAACTTTTTAAGGTGCGGTATCGTGAGGATGTTGCACATTCATAGGTCTCTATTAACTTTTCAAGTTTTGTATAGGAAGTAACAAAACCGGATAACGATGATGTTTTCCCATCAAATAAATCTTCCCAGGAAAAGTATCTGCAGTAATATGAAATACAAATACATGTAGATCAATAAACTATTGATATCATACTTTAAAGAACATTTCATACTTTAAGAAAAAATTTACAAACAGGAGGCTGATGGGCAATAATTTGCAATCCAGTTCATTTGAGCTCTTCAATTTGAAAATTCAATATTTCATACATTCTATACTGTCAATTGTACCTCAATATAAAACAAAATTAAATTTAGCAAGTTTCTAATTGTAATGTCTATATATTCGCTACTCTAAGCTATAGCATAAGGAATATAAGGAACAATGTTCAATAGACTCTCAATAGAACATTGTTTTTGTTTTTTGTAATTTTGGTAGAAGTCCCATTGATTATTATAATAAAACCAAAAGCTTAACAGCTTGTTGATAAAGGTGGTGAAGAATTTTGGATAGTGCATTAATACTGATGATTTTACTTACATGTATTCCCCTCGTGCACAGAGAGAAAGAGACAAGGACATTTTTAAGCGGTTAGCTTCGCTAGCCGCTATATGGCATGTGTCGGCAACCGGAAACCTCCATAAGGCGCTACCTATCGACAACAGAAACTTCAACAAAGCCTCTACCAATGATTTGTTTCTAATACATATAACATATGTTAAATAAAATCAAGACTATCAAAACAACATAATCTTTCGGTTTTTAATTTATATCTGATTTTGTTTGTCAATGAAATAAATTTATTGTTTTATTTTAAAATTTTATGTATAGGAGCATTTGGTGTCGAGATAAATTTTGACGTCAGCTGATGGCGATCGGGCCCTGTGACTTGTGTTTGAAGTCAGCATGAAGTTTAGCTGATAACATTATCAACGCGTTGGATTTAAACTTAAGGAAGAAATATATAGCGAGAAATATCATATTTGAACCCAATGCTACACGAAAACCAGTAGGCATATCCGATTTATGTGTTAAGTTGAAGCCTGAATTGAACAGGGGGTCAAAATGGCGTTGCACACCTTGTGTATCTAAACTGTACATAGAGGGGTAGAATGTTTCGATATGTGGCTAATTTAGAGACTTACTGATAAAAATTCAGGTGCCTGTGATTAATTATAAGGCACCCCTCATGAACAATAAATATTTGATCGAATTATGCTACTGGCACAGAAAGGACGGGTTAATTACTGGCTTAAGGGGTTGAAGGTTATTACAGATTGCAAAACATCGGAGAATCTCTCGATCGAGTTTCATTTTCCTTGCCAAAATATTTAGCCATCCCTTTAATTAACTTAAGTAATACTAGTACATGAAGAAAGCTTTATATATGAAAAAACTGAATACATCTGCATGGTTCTCCATCATTTGAAATTTTACTGTGTTGCAGAGTTTACGTGAAGCACTAAATTTTTGCGCTATTTTCGAGATCAAATTCGCAACTGAATTACCTTTTATTAAACTTATATAGGAACATATGCGCACACTTTTTAAAATAAATCACTATTTCGGTGTACAAATATTTTCGTCATACATATTGATAAAAGTAAAAACACGTGCTATGAAAAGCAGGGGAAATTCTGATCGATACAATCAAACTAATTACCACTTTTGAAAGTAAGTTTGTTGTACTTTTTTATCAGTTTTTTTTTTATCAAATTACCGAATTGCAAAGGAAAAAATAGGGAAACTTCAGGAAAGGATGATATTCTTACGAGTTCCTTAAAAATGTGTCGCATGCATAAAATTTTAATCGTTACTGTGTCGTAGAAAATTTTGCTGTGTCGGGAGCAACACAGTAAAACAGCTCATGGAGAACCCTGCATCTGTAAGCTGTAAAGTTATAGATTACTTCCATAATGAAACGTTTGTTTTCTTCTCCTTTTTTTCTCAATTGAAATTATTTAAAAGATGATGAAAGCTTTGTTTCCAGGGATAAATTCTGTACTCAGTAATCATTACAAACGATTATAAACGTCACATTATTTAAATATTTGCCAAATACTCAGTATATGTTCGTTTATATATATCGTGCTTACAAGACTCTTTTTTGAATTATTGTCGTGTACCATTTACTAATTCGAACATTTATTGTATTTAAAGTCAATAGTGTACATTTCTTAAAACTTTATTATCTTGTTTACTTGTCTTTCTTCCTGTGAGAGAAATAGTTCATAATATTAATAAACAGATGTACTCAGTATCTGTATCAAAATACAGAATGAATAGTGATCGGTCTCAAATGAAAAACGGATCCTTGAAAGTTCCGGTGCCTAGGAGAAGTAAGCATCCCCAATAACGGGTCACACCTGCTGACCCGCAGTGAGACTACGAAATTGAAGCCCTCTGAAATTAAATTAATTTACATTCTCTGCTCGTCCATCCGTTTTTCTCAAAGCCAGCTAAAGATCTATGTACAGAACTCCAAATAAATTAATCTTAAGAATTTGAATTATCATTACCGTCTTCCTTGGAAGACGGTATTGTATAGTTGAAACAGTCGTCGGACTATGCACTTCCTCTCTTTTGTGATTGGTAGAAATTGCATGAAAATTTTCAATTATTTCATTGGTTGAAACGCTGTTCAAGGCAAGGGAGATAACTTTCTGATGATATATTTTTCGTACAATTCCAATCTTAAAAAAATGACAAAACGAACAACAAAATCAGCAGTAATTAATTCTTAATAACATAGCGTTTTACTGTTTTATAGTGATAAAAGTGTTTTATAGCGATAAATAAAAAGGTCTCTTAAATTTCATTAAAATTAAAATTTGATAGTTATTGCTTGCAGGCTTTACAATGTGTTATTATTCTTTTCCCCTTTCTTGTTTGAAGAGTGAAAATCAGCCGAGGTTTGCCGAAAGCTCTCGGCCAGTCAACATTTACGGAGATGACCGAGCGACAACCGTGGTAGGGCTAATGCTTTAAAAAGCTTATTTAGAAATACAAAATCAGGAAATTCAAAAGAAGTATAGATCTGTTTACTATTTAAAATTGTTGCTTAAGACGGTAAGCTTTTTTGAAAAGCTCTACTTGTTTTATTTTCTTTTTGAGTAGGCTTTACAGTTACCTAATTTCAAAGTCAATAGAGCATGAAAGACAATTAAATTTGCAACATCAACATTTTTTTTCGTTCTGAGCACATTTGGACGCCACCAATGGAGACAATTAGGGAAAATTTTTGAAATTGAACTTCCTGTCTTTCAAACTGAAAATCTCAGGTTGATATTTTGAAACATACATTTGTGACATCAGTCTGGGATGTTATTGGTTTTTCCATTTAGTTAAGTACTACAAAAGTCAGTGTGTCTGCTTCTTCGCTGATGACATTGGACAAAGATATGCATGCTTACTTTAATATCATCAGAATGCATTTTTTGTTATTCTAAGTGCAGTCAAGTTCCATGAAAGCAAACCGCTTTTCAGTACTTTCAGTACTTTGATTATTTTTGATACCATTCCCTTACAAATACTTTGAAAAAATTGGTTCAGCAGTCTCAGAGAAAAAGTAGCAAATGTTTCCAAAAATCACTATGGATTTTATTTTAAGCATTATACCTATAACAGACCAATATAAATATTTAGGACTTGTGTTTACATCAAATGGAAAACTAAGTTTGCTTCAGAGCAACTTTAAGAATGTGCTTAAAAGCCATATTATGCATTGAAATCAAGTATACCTGGAAATAACAATATTTCAGTTCAAGTGTTACTAAACTATACAATTCAATGATTATTCCAATTATAACATATGGATCTGAAATATGGATCACAGACTATAAATCAGATATTAAATCTTCAGAATGTTTTCCATTTGAAAAAATTCAAAATCATATTCTCAAAGATATTCTAGGTGTACATATAGAAAAGCATCAAATTTAGCAGTCAATGCTGAACTAGGTTCTTATCCACTTTACTATTTATGTTATGAAAACATGTTTAAATATTATATCAGATTCCTTAATTATATCAGATTAAGGAATATGGAATCAAATACCACATATAATAATGCACTTTTACTATCAGCTTTCAAAGAGGACAAAGAGTTAGCTCTGAAAAAGGGTTATACTTCAAGGCAAAGCAAGATTTTCAATCTTCAACAAAAACTAAACTTGACTTCTTTAAACATTTCCCATAAGGATTTGAGGTTTAAGTTAAATAAAACTTTTGTTGATATGACCTTTGAACAATTGAGCAAAATCTCATCTTCTAACTCAGGAAAACTTTATTTTTATAGTAAAATCTTAAACTGTACTGATTATAAATTGCAGGATTAATTAAAGTTTCCTTTAAAAGAGCATGAAAGATCACAGCTAACAAAATTAAGAATCAGTGCACATTCACTATTCACTGAAACAGGTAGATACTGTAAACCAATAATCTCTAAGGAAAAACGTTTATGCTATGCTTGTAAATTATTGGTTGAAAATGAAAAACATTTTGTACTTTACTATCCTGTGAATGACAATCTTCGATTTCAATATTGTGATATTTTTGATGATAAATTATACTGTGGTACTGATCCCATTAAAGAAATTGTTAACCCATGTGAATATAATACTACAAACCTTTATGTATCTACTTAGATAAATGGTTTATACAGAGGAAACAATGCCAAGGTCTATGAGGAACTGTGTAAAATTGAACTGCATGCAATTAGGTTATAACATTCTTCTCTTTTTTTTCTTCTTTTTTTCTGTTACATGTATCTGTCATTTAATTTCTTATTTTGACTGTATGCCAACACGGTGATGTCAATAAACTGAATTGAATTGAATGGACAAGAAAGACACCCATAGGTCTCCTAAGTGACCCTGCTAGTAACCTGTGGCCAAAAAAGGTTTAAAAGCATTATCCAAAGAATTTCTGTACTATAACACTCAATATGAAAGGGAATGTGGAGACATGATCCCAGAGGCATTTTACTTGGGATAATGTACAATAACAAGGTTCACTTAAAGCCTTCTTGGGCCCTGTGAATTTATGAAAAAAATTAAATTGCTCAATTTTAGTTTAAAATGCATTAAATTCATTTGGACTCTTGGTGATTGCATAAAAATAAAATGATTTTCTTACTAGTCCATCTACATGTGTCATGACATCAACAAATATCATTATTCCATATCCTAAGAATTTCTTCACAAATGACCAAAAATTTAAGCTGTTCCTCAGTATTTTGCTTTAAGCCAATCCTCTGATCAAAAACTTCAAATACATAATTAAAAATCTGTTTAATAAAAATATAATCCATGTCTTATTTTCTGAATCGAGGGGTGGGCTCATACTATCTTTGCTTAAGGTGCTCAATTTAAGAACATTGCAATATCACAATACCTGTTTTACGTAACCTGCTCTCTAAGAGGAAACTTTTTATTTATAGGAAATGAAAGCACTAAGTCTCAGATTATATTGATGTTTGAAATGGGACATTTTAATAGATTTATTTGCAATACTGACAGAAGGGCCATTAAATGGAGAAACTGAACCTACCTCCATTAAAAAAAAATTAGGAAAAAATGAAGAGAAAAAATCATGACTCGTGTCAGATGGACTAATTCCTATTTACTGCCCTGCACTTCATTTGCAGGGGAGAGGGGGGGGGGTTAATTATTAATTTAAGTAGCATATGCTTTGGTGTATAATTCTTTGATACCTGTCAGTTTCAACTTCCATTTTATTTCGAGCTATTCCTGTGCTGTTTCAATGGAGTTGTCACATGCGCTAGAGCCTAGAGGAGTTATCTAACAAACCCTGAAAAATAAAGACTTTTACATCTATTTTAAGGTATCTAAAATTTCTTCAACCTATTCTGAACCTATATAGCTTAATCAAAACATTGTGTTGCACCTGATCTATAAAAGGAGTACAATAGCCACGCTTGAAACTCCACCAGATTTCAGAGAACCTGTATTGATGACAGTGAAATTAAAAACTTCATAATATATTGAATATATCTAAAAATTAACCCATTCATCTTACTTTGTGCTTACAATCAATATTCTACTGCTTCTCATTTAGTTACGTCTTCCGCTTTGTGCCGATTCGAACCTCTATACGACAAGTATCACACAATACATGTATGTATGCTTGAGGTACCTGTGGCCAGCTCCACCAGATTTCAGAGAACCTGTATTGATGACAGTGAAATTAAAAACTTCATAATATATTGAATATATCTAAAAATTAACCCATTCATCTTACTTTGTGCTTACAATCAATATTCTACTGCTTCTCATTTAGTTACGTCTTCCGCTTTGTGCCGATTCGAACCTCTATACGACAAGTATCACACAATACATGTATGTAAGCTTGAGGTACCTGTGGCCAGCTCCACCAGATTTCAGAGAACCTGTATTGATGACAGTGAAATTAAAAACTTCATAATATATTGAATATATCTAAAAAATAACCCATTCATCTTACTTTGTGCTTACAATCAATATTCTACTGCTTCTCATTTAGTTACGTCTTCCGCTTTGTGCCGATTCGAACCTCTATACGACAAGTATCACACAATACATGTATGTATGCTTGAGGTACCTGTGGCCAGCTCCACCAGATTTCAGAGAACCTGTATTGATGACAGTGAAATTAAAAACTTCATAATATATAGAATATATCTAAAAATTAACCCATTCATCTTACTTTGTGCTTACAATCAATATTCTACTGCTTCTCATTTAGTTACGTCTTCCGCTTTGTGCCGATTCGAACCTCTATACGACAAGTATCACACAATACATGTATGTATGCTTGAGGTACCTGTGGCCAGCTCCACCAGATTTCAGAGAACCTGTATTGATGACAGTGAAATTAAAAACTTCATAATATATTGAATATATCTAAAAATTAACCCATTCATCTTACTTTGTGCTTACAATCAATATTCTACTGCTTCTCATTTAGTTACGTCTTCCGCTTTGTGCCGATTCGAACCTCTATACGACAAGTATCACACAATACATGTATGTATGCTTGAGGTACCTGTGGCCAGCTCCACCAGATTTCAGAGAACCTGTATTGATGACAGTGAAATTAAAAACTTCATAATATATTGAATATATCTAAAAATTAACCCATTCATCTTCTTTTGTGCTTACAATCAATATTCTACTGCTTCTCATTTAGCTACGTCTTCCGCTTTGTGCCGATTCGAACCTCTATACGACAAGTATCACACAATACATGTTTGTATGCTTGAGGTACCTGTGGCCAGCTCCACCAGATTTCAGAGAACCTGTATTGATGACAGTGAAATTAAAAACTTCATAATATATAGAATACATCTAAAAATTAACCCATTGTACTTACAATCAATATTCTACTGCTTATCCTTTAATGAATTCTCCCGTCTTGTGATGAACCTCTATGCAACAAGTATCACTCAATATGTACGCTTAAGGTGCCTGTGGACAACTCCACAATATTTCAGAGAACCTATTACTATAAAATGGGATTATTCCTCTTTTCAGTAATAAAAAAAAACCTTACCATATACGGGTATTTTCACTTGTTTACCCTCTATTCTTATGTTTGATTTGATTAACAGATTAAGTGCAAGAATATTTTCAAATCCTCTAAATATTTATAGTCTATTAAGTGTATGTATACTAAAAACTACAATATTTATTGCTGCAAAATGCTGAAAAACAGTTATTAAATATTTCTACAATATAAATTTCTTACGGAAGCTTATCTGTGTTAAAATTGTGAGATTGAATACGTTTACCACTTGCTAACTCGTTCATCAAATTATTCGTTCTAATTTAATTTTATATCATTTCTTTCAAAGACATCGTAAAAATTATTTTTTATACCACTGCTTCTTTTACACATGAAAATAATTGTTTAAAATATTAAATTTTAAAACAGAGTCTTGTAAAGAGGGTTTTAGCATGAATGCCATTACAAGATTCATTTATCAACATGGAAAATTAAAGTAAAAGTCGTGGATTACTGCTGCACGTGAGTTTAAATTCCTAAGCATGTTCAAAAGATGTCACCTCCACGAAACCAAGCTAGGAAATTTTCGGTATTTGAACAAATAATAACTTGTATAAGGGGGTATCATGTTCGTTCCCCTAATCTACCTGTTCGCTTGAGTTTGTTCGTGCAGGGTCCGTTCACCATTATTCTTGCTCACCCTATATCTCGTTCACCATATATCTCGTTCGCCCTAATGTATTTACAGTATATAGTATATATTAACATTTATTATTTATTTTATATTCAATATTTTACGACTTGGTGTTTTCTTTCAAATGTTGCTACTGTATTTTTTTTTTGTTGTCTCCCGTGTGCAATTTATGTAGCACTTCTTCCTCATTCCATTATTCTATCTCCATATAATAGTAGATTCTAACTGAAATTTGCTTCAATACCTTCTGGATTTCATAAAATCAAGTTATATGTACAGCCTCATTTTATGTACCAATGTACATATAATTTATTTAAAAAGTCCACTGGTTCCTTATTCAACTTTCTGCAATATAAATAAGGCGAACGGACCCTGTGCGAACAAGTTTTAGGGCGATCGGACTCTGGGCGAATGAGGATTAGGGCGAAAGGTGTCAAGGGCAAACAAATTTTAGGGAGAACGAACATACAACCATATAAGGGAAATATTCACATCCGTTTGCAGAATACTCATGATACCGTATGATTAAATCTCATCTTACTCCTGTATGCAGCACTAAAGAACCAAATTTTTTTGTCAGGGAGGTTGGTTAAAGAAAGTTTAAACACATCACATTGTATTTTTCATGCAATTTTTATTCAAGAAACGGATTTGGGGCATTATTTTAAAAATATGAGGAAAATTTCCGTATACAGTGATGTTTTTTCTTACTGAAAAGAGGAATAATCCCGTTCTTTAGTAATACTTCCTAGTACAAGGATCTGTACCCAACCTGATTAACCCATTCAGGTCATATTTTCATTCACAAGAAATGTTTTTCCACATTTGAAAATAAAAGAGGATCCTGTTCGTAGGTAAAGACAGGTACCGCATCTCGGATCACCACATCTTGTTACGGAATATTGTTCTGGGTTGGTGTTGAATTTAGCTCTGGTCAATAGTTTTAAATTTGGTGGTTGTCTTTGGCTGCGAATTAAATCCGATTTTGGTATTAGTTGAAGATCATTATCCCGTTCAATGATGGTAAAATTCTTTCTTGCCTCTTGAAATATATTAATGTGTTTCGGATTAAATGTTGTTACAAAAGGGATTAAGAATGGATCTTTGTCCTTTTTTCTGGTTGTTCTTAAAACATTCTGCCATAGAAGAATCCAAGAAAATTCTGCAGCATGTTTTAAGAACAACCAGAAAAAAGGACAAAGATCCATTCTTAATCCCTTTTGTAACAACATTTAATCCGAAACACATTAATATATTTCAAGAGGCAAGAAAGAATTTTACCATCATTGAACGGGATAATGATCTTCATCAACTAATACCAAAATCGGATTTAATTCGCAGCCAAAGACAACCACCAAATTTAAAAAGACTATTGACCAGAGCTAAATTCAACACCAACCCAGAACAATATTCCGTAACAAGATGTGGTGATCCGAGATGCGGTACCTGTCCTTACCTACGAACAGGATCCTCTTTTATTTTCAAATGTGGAAAAACATTTCTTGTGAATGAAAATATGACCTGTAAGAGCAAAAACCTCCTTTATTGCATTACGTGTAACAACTGCGGAGAGGAATACATCGGCCAGACCGGGACCCAGTTAACCACCGGCATGCGCGTACATCGCCAACAAATTAACAATCCGAGCCTAAGAAACACGCCATGCAGTGAACATTTCGATATTTGCTCACAAGGAAACTACTGTGTGTTCCCCTTTTATAAACTTAGGAACGATTCCACCGCAATGAGATTAGCAAAAGAAAACTATTTCATAAATCTTTTTTCACCAAAACTGAACAAACATTAACATTGAGAAATTACCTAATTTTATATATCATCAATTAGAATTTCTGTTTAATTTGTTTATATAGACTAAAAAATGTGCGATTTTTTGTCCATTATTGTCCAATTTGATTTTCCCTAACTTTTACGTAACGTAGCCGTTAACGTTACTAAGCAAAACAATCAGTTCAATTTATGTACACCTGAAGACGGATTATGAAATCCAGAAAGCGCTTGTGTTAAATGAAATTTGGAAACTTCATTTTCTTTTTCTTTTATAATTATTTTCACCTGTGTGACATCGCCTGTGAACTATTTTCAACTATATATATATATATATATATATATATATATATATATATATATATATATATATATATATATATATATATATATATATATATATATATATATATATATATATATATATATCATCATAAGGTCTAGAATACACATGTGAAGAATGAAAGCCTTAGCATCAACTGACAAAAACAGCCACATGTAACGCAGTCAGGTTTAACGAGTACGAAGAGTATACTCTTATATTAATATAATAATATTGATTCAGAAAATGGTGTGTATGTATGCCATAGTTTACTTTAAGTTTAAAGTAGCTGCAATGATGTAGCCTTCTCCCTTTTTTCGGAGAAAATATAAGATTAAAAAAATAATCAGAGAAGGCTACATTACTGCAGCTACTTTAAACATTAAGTAAACTATGGCTACAGCAAACATAATTATAAGGAATTTACATTAAAAGAAAGTCATATTCATTCTCTTTAATTCTCAAACTAGAACTGTCCACATGGGACAAAATACCCCCCAAGGGTTTTTAAGAAGTAAGTTTTTCCATAATAAAGATCTGTATCAAACACGAATTATGAAATTTTTCTTCCAGTGACCTTGAATTCCTCAAATGACCTAGGGTCAAGGTCATGACACACCCTTGTGTCATCGGCAATCTTTGTGTGAAATGAGAACCTACCAAGTTTATCAATTAGAAAGATATGGACCGGACACGAAGTATGAATTTTTTCTTCAACTGACCTTGAACCTCCCTAAACGACCTTGGGTCAAGGTAATGACACTCCCTTGGGTCATGGGCAATCTTTGTTTGAACTGAGAACCTACCAAGTTTATCCATAAGAAAGATATGGACCGGACACGAATTATGAAAATTTTCTTCCACTTACCTTGAACTTCTCCAAGTGACCTTGGGTCAAGGTCATGACACACCCTTGGGTCATAAGCAATCTTAGTTTGAAGTAGTAGGTTCTAGTAGGTTCTAATGTCCCTCTGTAACAAAGATATGGACCGGACACGATTGCACAGACAGACGGACAGACGGACGGACAGACGGACAAGGTGATTCCTATATACCCCCCAAACTTCATTTGCGGGGGGTATAATAAGAAGATAAAATTTTATACATTTAAGGAGTTTAAGTTAAAATTCACAAGCATTTTATACATTTACTTAAAGCATGACTTAATAACTGTAATTTATTACCAATTTTTTTCTTATGCATACAAAATAATGCAGTAGAAGGAAATTGCATTTGAAAAAAAACAAAGACCTGAATCTGAAAATTATTATTATTTGATACAGAAATGTAATGACAAACAAGAAAGGCAATGTATCATGATCATAACTTATTCTGTCAATAGATGTGTACAATCTGCCATATGATTTAAGTCATTTCTTTGCAAAATGAAAAGTTGGTAAAAATAATGGTGGATTATTTATTGCAATATTAATTGCTTCAATATGTCAATACTATCCACCTAAATCGCAGATCATTCATAACATGAAGTTGTTTTTTGAAGGTAGGGCTGCCATTTTCTACAAGGATTCTGTCCCTAATAAGGAAGGGGAACGTTTCTTGCAGCCTTGTCCTTAAATAACAGTCAGATAAACACACATAAACACAGCCTCACAGGTTGGGGTCACATGATCACATCGGGTCACGTGATTGGTTGATCTTTGAAGCCACTATTTTTCAATATCCTCCCCTTACTTCATCATAATCTGTTCTGTACTCATCCCATTTCTAGAAAGTCATACATATAAAGAGGAGGATCAGGGCTCTCTCCTGCTCAGCAATATATTGAAAATATTGAGCATTCATAATATTTGAATATATACATGATAGTTTTCCAACATATGTCTTATGGAGTAGAGTAGTATTGAGGAATTGTGATCAACATTAAATATTTACATCCACTGAATAGTTCCTCCTTTATTTCTTAAGAAAACCCATTGCCGTTAATCAGTGCATGAACATCACTTTGCCAGTAACTTAATAGACGTTACATGGTAACTGCAGAACTACTCCCTTGCAGGGCAAAATGGTATATTTTGGTGATGTGACATAAAAGTAATTGTTAAATCATCTCTCAATAAAAACTTCGCTAAACCTTATTATTTTGCCCTGCAAAAGAGTAGTGCCATAGTTACCATGAAGAGGCTAATAGACAAACGATGTATTTGTTACATGTAATATCCATTATCCAGGTCCAA